TCTCTAATCACTGTAAGAGGATGATCTTGAAAACAGCCAACTCTACGTTACTTGGTTATTCCACAGAAATTTAGGGATGTTTAGTAATAGAAAATGTAAATGCAAATGAGTTTTCATATTTCAGTGATAAGAATGAGGTCAGAGAAGTGCTTTGACAGGTTCATTGGTTATCCTGGAAGTAAGTTTATCATACTAAGAGTTAACTAATGTTTTTTTCTTTTTCTAGCTGGAAATCTTGTGTTCAGTCAATATTCTACAGTTCATATTTATTGCACTCAGACTAGATGAGATCATCAGATGGCCATGGCTTGTATGTAACCAGTGTTTTCTTTTTATCTTTGTTTAAATGCTGAATTTCAGAAAGATATTTATTCTAGGGAACAGTTAATATGTGGTCAGTCCATGATCCCGTTTTTGCTCACTTAGCAATCCTTCACTGAAGGTCTGGCACACCATTCAGTGGTCATGGCAATCAGGGGCTGTTCTTTGGGCACATCATCCTCTGAGGCAGAGGAATGTGCCATCAGCTGCAGTTCATCTCTGAGCAGCAGTTGAATGAGAAATCCTCACCCAAAGTTCCCAGTGGGAACACTAAACAAGCCATGACAATGATTGGTGAGGTAGAGAATTGGTAAATAACTACTTCTATTTGTTGTGTTACCATGAATGTAAATCCACTTACTGTGCAAGTAGTCTTTGTCAAAACTGCTGAGATGTCCTGTCCCAAGTGCCTTTAGAACAAAAGTGCTGTTTCTGTGTCTGGGTTTCTGCCATAAAACTGACAATCTTTCTATTGTAAAAAAAAAAACTTGAGAAAGGATTGAAACTCTTTAAAGTAAGGTATCCAGTGTGGAAGTACTTACTAAAAATCAAGTACAGTTTGAGCCCACACAAAATCACAGAAGTCCTACCTAAGTTGAACTACATTGCCTTAATTTTAAATGGTTTCACCTTATGGGGTTTAGAAAGCTGAGAACCCCTGCCCTGAACTGATTGTGTCTTGAAACAACACACATGAGCTTGATGTCCTTCTGTTAGATATTATATTCGTTAAAGACTTCATTTTCTTGTTTAGGCTTAATATGTAGGCTCACTTTAAAAAAAAAAATCCTACAGCTGAAACAAATCAAATGTGTCCTTCTTTCAGGTTGTCTGTGTCCCTCTGTGGATCTTGATGTCCTTCCTGTGCCTGGTGGTGCTCTACTACATCGTGTGGTCTGTGCTGTTCCTGCGCTCCATGGATGTGATCGCTGAGCAGAGGAGGACACACATAACCATGGCTGTCAGCTGGATGACAATTGTAGTTCCACTGCTCACATTTGAGGTACAAAAGGCCATAATGAGTTTGATGTGTCTTGTTCTTTTTTCAGTAAGAAATGAATGATGATTTTTGAACTTACTGAAATTAGAATGCTGCTCTTTGTTTTGGAATAAAATATTAACAGCAAAGATGAAACACAAACAAGAATTCTATGTTCCTTTAATGTTTCTTGAGTAAAATTTGCATCACACTGGAACTATAACTACATGCTTCTGTGAAGGCCACTTTTTCTCACAGATGTGTGAAGGTAAAGATTTCAGATCAGCATATGCTTTAAGCAGTTTGAAAGTGAGTATTGCAATTAAACTGACATTGTATAATTTTTTCCATTTAGATCTTGCTAGTACACAGACTGGATGGGCATAATTCTTTTTCTTTCATACCCATATTTGTTCCTCTCTGGCTTTCACTGATAACATTAATGGCAACAACATTTGGACAAAAAGGAGGCAATCACTGTAAGTATTTCAGAATCCTGGAAACAGATTAAAAATCAACGTCTTTTATTAAGATTTGTATTTTCAGAAAGGACTTTTCTGTTACTACTATTTTCAGGCAGTTGTAATAAGATTTCAGTGCTTACAGGGTCCTCCCCTGTGGCACTGTTTACTTTGGTTGAGGTGCAAAGTCTTTGTGTTTCTTCTCTGTACTGGTGTGACCCCACACTGTGTAATGTGTGAAAGGAAATGGATTCTTGCAGGGGTGGTGTAGCTGTAATTTATGCAGATGGATATACACACAGGCATGCATGTGCAGACATGGAACTGTGTCTGTGTGTGTATAACCTGAATTGTAATGTTATGATAGGCATAAGGAACGCTCAGAAGCAGCATTAACAAATCTTATTTATATGCAAAAAATCAAGAGACCTTCAATAGTCTGTCTACTTAATTGTGTGTTCATTCTTTTAATAATGTAAAATGATTTTGTTTCTTTTAGGGTGGTTTGGAATTCGCAAAGACTTTTGCCAGTTCCTGCTTGAAATTTTCCCATTCTTGCGAGAATATGGAAATATCTCTTATGATCTTCATCATGAAGATAATGAGGAGACAGAAGAAACACCACTGCCTGAACCACCAAAAATTGCACCAATGTTCCGAAAAAAGACTGGAGTGGTCATTACCCAGAGTCCTGGAAAATATGTGATTCCACCTCCCAAGTTAAACATTGATATGCCAGATTAAGATGACAGTAGCATATTAAACTTGAACTGGTCATCAGCAGACAGATGTATTTCATCTCATGCCTTGTCCCAATTCCTTTAAAATAGGTATTGCTGAATCAGTGGCTTGGATTACACAAATCAGAAATGTTGAAGATAATCTGAGTGCTTTTCCAGAAACGTGTGGTTGTCTAATTTGTGAACCTTCCTAACAGGTTGGTTGCACGCTTGCCTGTATAGTATTTATATGAACATTTTTAGCAGTGTAATATATTGTTTAAAAGTCCTGTTGTGTACAGTATAAGTATTATCTAAAAGTATTTTTTTAAAAACCCTGTATGAAATGCCTATGCTATTCCAGGTGTCTTTTAGGTCCTAAATATACACTTGTTTTCATGTCTCTTTTAAATGCTTTGGGATGCCTTAGCATAGTACCTCTTTACTTCTTTCTCTGTTCAGCTGCAATCATCACAGAGGCACAAAAGTGTTGCACTTCTGAGGCAACACTTGAAACCCTTTTTTGGGAGGGGAAGTAGAATGTATGGTGACTTACATGATGCTTTTGAGTTAGCTGTGTAAATATTCATGTAAGTATTTCAACTTTTGTGCTGGCTTGGGAGTTACATGTTGTTTTTGTTGCTTTTCCAGTTTCATGTTTTGATTCTTCTTGAGCAGCATGTACCATTCTCCCATTAGACTGGCTGTTTAATAAGCTGTTTCTCACATTGTGTGGTCTGTGCCAGAAACATTTGTGGTAGGTTTCACAGCTGTTGGTTAGCTGGTATAAATATCATAGCTTGGTCTTTGTTACCAACTTTGTGTTGATTACTGTAAATGATTAAACTTTTCAAGATAGGATCTTACTGGTGTTGGCATAGCATTTTCTTGTCTGAAGAAAGACCTGCTTTGACAGTGTGCCTTGGATTTACAGGTGCTTTGGAGAAATGGAGTGTACAAAATGTGTAGTCCTGTAGTTTATAAAACCAGATGTCTCATACTCCCAAAACCTTGTTGCTGCTGTCTGTGTTTAGGTAACCCACTTTTAGATAGGTTAAATACCATGAGTCTCATTTCTTTAATGTTAGCATGACAGGAAGAGTAGGGAGAGTGGTGGACATTTCTGCATGTGTTCAAGGTGTATGCCTGTAAGACCTGGATGCAGCACTTCCATTTCTGATGCTCCAGAGCTTCCCTTTCTTGCCTGGACCAGCTACTGCCTGAAACCCAACCCAGCACTGTCCCATGCCACAGCTGAAATTTTGTTGCAGTCTTATTTTACATATATAATTTATATACATTTTATTATATTCTGGTTCAACAAGTCAAACATCAGTGGGATTGTCACTGGACATCAATTTGCCTGCACTACCATGGAGAAGAAAACCAGAGGCTGAGCTTGCATGAGAAACCACGTCCCAGGAGGAGAGCAGTCCATGCACAGCAGGGGCAAGGGAGAAGAGGCACAGCTCTGCACTGGGAAGGTCTCAGCTGCCAAGCACAGTGCCAAGGCAGCCCCTCAGGCAGTGCTGCCCACAGAGCTCCATCTGCTGCTGCTCAAACAGGGGGAGCTGCAGCCTCTGCAGCTCCCCTTCAGCTGAGGCACAGCAGGGCCTGGATGGGGCCAGGAACTGCTCAGGGACCTTCACCCAGCCCTGCCCTGCAGTCACTTCCCACCCCTGGAAGCTCAGTCTGTCTCCAGGTCACAGCCCAGCTCCATGTGGGGTTCAGAGCTGGAGCTGCAGGCACTGGCCCAGGGCCACAGCTCTGGCACAAGTGCTATAGTCCAAGGGAACAGGTTCCCAAGTGCTCCAGCAAAGTGTCTGAATACTGAGACTCTGCCACTTGTGTCCTGTTCTAGGTGTGGCCTTGCTCCAGAAAATCAAAAGGGTTTTCACTGTAATGTAGGGTGTGAATTTTAAAAAACTGAGAGTGCCAAAGCTTAGTGGCTATTATTTACAATTCTTCACACTAGTTTTAAATTCAGTATTATATTTTCAAAGACAACTAGTATTTTTCATCTTAAATAAGAGGAAAAAAATTAATACTTGCTTGATTTCATGTTGTACAAGCACCTGCTCAAACTGGCCCTTCTGCAATGTCTGTCAGGTCACAGAGCTGTATTCATCACATGCACATCTTGTGTGCCTTAGATGTGAATGAAAAGAATCTATCCTTAAGGCAGGACAAGGAGTGGTCTGGGACAGCTGTCCTAGAAAGTGTGGCAGCCTGCTTTTAAGCACCATTTTCTTATAATCAGAGATGCATGTATCAAAAAATAATTTTAATTTACATTTAAATTGGCACAATGCATAACTACATTTAAAAATGGCATTTACTTAGTTGTTTATACAGGAAAAGTCTAGAAAAACAATTTCATGTAATAGTCATAAAGACACATCTTGTTTGTTTTACCTCAAAAAGGAGTTCTTCAAATGTATTTGCCATTTCAAATAGTTTTGGAATAGAATCCTAGACAGGATGCTGATGTAATTCACCAATCAGCATCTTAAAAGGCAGGAAAAAATAATAGTAAGGGGCAACAGTTACAATTCTGAAGGGATCAGCTCTTCTGGGATGTCCACCTGCCACACCCCTGTTCTCCCTCTGGCAGGAATTGGTTCCAGGAGCCATCTGGGATTTGAAACAACAGTCAAGTATTTCTGTTTTAGATTACTGAGGACAGCTTTGTTTTCCAGCTCCAGAATGTCTTCAGGAGGCAGGTTTTCTGGATATAGTGATGTCTCTCCAACGTCAATTAATCCTGTATATGACAATTAAAACACAAGATTAGTTGACAGTTTGATCTCCTAGAGAAAAGTTTTCCACAGGTAGCCCTCCCTGAGGCCACAGAACAGCCAGTTTGTTACCTGAAGGGCACAGTCAGAGTGTGCAAAAGTCCATGTGACTCAGCTCAGGTGGGTGAGGAAAAGGAGGACGGAACAGTTAAAATCACCACAACCCAGTGCTGCAGAACTCCTTGAAAAGCAGCCTCATCTAAGGAGACACAGCTGCTACCAAAACTCCTGAGCTACATTTGCCTTGGACCAGCTTCAGTAAAGCATAAAACTCTCTCTGCTCCTCTCAAGCCACTATTCTATTAACATTTTTAAATCATTGAACTATTTTGAAATTCCTACCTACACCACAATTAAGCATGCAATTGATGTTAAGGCTGCAAACCTACATATTATGTAGAACCTATGGTTTTTAGCACTGCAGAACCACAACGTTCAGTGTATGTGGTAGAATTAATTTGTTGTGCAGGAATAGCTAAAAGTATTCAAATGACAGTGAAAGATGGTGTAACAAAGATACCTACAACAAAATAGTACAAAATGAGCACTAAAAACTCTTTAAGTGTACAGTGCACATCTGCTCTATGTCAGCACAATTTATGCACTGAAACATCACTGCCTCTTCACTGTGTTACAGAAACAAACTTCTTCACCACCCAAATACCAAAAGCAACACAGGGGGCTTGTAAAACTGAAATAGGGTTTATTTATGTAATTATTTATGTATACTTTAAAATGGCATGCACAGTGCTGCAACATCAAGAATTCACTTGACCACGAGTACTGCACAATGGTTCAGCAAGAGTTCCTAAGCTCAAAATGCAAGAAGTGTGAAACTGACGCGTATTGTGCTGAAACATACAGAATTGAAATAGACCTCTCCCATCACAACTCATGCTCCACTCTTTCAATGTCATGAGTGCAAACACATAGAGCAGATGTATATTTCAGTGACTGTTAAGGGAATGAAAGTTTGTTTACAAAATATAACCCAAGGATACTTACCTGCAATAACTCCTCTGCCAAATTTTTCCCCTTCATCCAACAAATCTTGCAGCTGTTTTGGTGTCATGCCGAACCTATTCAGAAGAATTTCTCTCCATGTTTCATCTTCCCAGTCCTTAACAGCTATATGAATAGCAATGGTGCAGTTCTTGTAGCCTGCTAGCAAAGGACGCCAGCGGGTCTCTACTGTTTTGACTTGGTTTAGAAGCAACCCTGCGTAGGGCTGTCGGAAGGAAAGGCAACCGAATTTCATCGTGCTCCTGGCATTAGAGGCCGCTTATTTCCTGTAAACACACAGAGGCCCGGGGATCAGCCTCCAGCAGCGGCCGATGTCCCTGACAAGCTGGCGGCCCTGCAGCCGCGGAGCGGCGCGGAGGGAGCAGCGCGGCCTCCCCGGGGCGGGTCCGGCCCGCGGGTCCCGCTCTGCCCGCGCCTCGCTCCGGGCTCGGGCCGGGCCGCCCGAACAACCGCCCCCGCGGCCGGGTACGGCCCCGGTGCCGGCCATGCCACACGGCCGCAGGCGCTTTCCCCGCGGGCGGGCACAGCCCGCTCCTGGCCGCCGCATCACGGCCGCAGCCGCTTCCCCACAGCTCGGCCCGGCCCGGCCCGGTCGCCCTGCGCGGGCTCCCGCGGGGAGCGCTCCGCCGCCGCGCGACCATGGAGGCCCCAGGGCCGCCGCCTACCTGCTCCGCGGGCCCCGCCGCTCCGCCGGCCCGCCCGCACGGTGGGTGGCGGGAGCGGGGCGGGGCGGGCCGGGAGGCGGTGGCCCCGCGGGCCGGAGCCAGCTGCGCTGAAAGGAGCGCGGCCGCGCTGTCCCTGCGGCTTTTCGGCTGTCCCGAGAGGAGGGATGGGGTTCGGGCCTGCTCCCCGGCGATCCGGAGCGGCGGGGCCTGGCGGTGGGTGCTGAGGGGAGGCGGCAGCTCCGTGTGCGCTGCTCGGGGCTCTCCGGTGCCCGGTGCGGCGCTGCCGGGCTCGGGGATGCGCTCGGTGCCGCGCTCGGTGCCCTCCAGGCCCGGAGCACCGCGGGGAGCCCGTGCGGCTCTGCAGCCCGGCCGTGCGGGGCTCCCGCGCCTCTGGTCATAACTAAAATAATTCAGCACGTGAAAATTCAGTGGCTCTCACCTCCCTGCTCTCTCTGGGCACTGGTTTGTTTGGGACAGAATTTCCCAAAGTGCTCTCATCCAGCCCTGCTCTCTGAGGACAGCCTTACCTGTGCCCTGGTGTGTTCAGTGGCGTTTTGCATCGAGGCTTTGTCCTTCCAATACCGGCGTTTTGAACAATGCAGTTACCGTTTGACAACAGGTTTTGTGTGTGCTGGTCCCGCTGTGAGCCCTGGCAACAGGAAACAAAGTGTGGGGATCTAGCAAGCACAGTAAAATTCAGAGACCTTCCAGAAAAAGGGAACTTGGAAAAGGAGAGGGTTAGAATAGTATAGTCCTGCTGGATGTGTTCAGTTTTAATGGGCAGCCTATATATATAGGGTGAAAAAAGCAGTGAACACGTGGTTTTACATGGTAATTTCCAAGGTATACAAATCAAAGTGACCTTATTAAGGCAGGCAGTGATACTAAAGATGGCTACTGATGCTGCAGGTTGAAGAGTTGAATTTCTGCAGGTACAGAAGATAAAAAATTATAGATATGTCTCTGCCCAAATAAAAATCACGGGAGATTCATCTCTCCTGTAAAGCCATACTGTCAGCTGAGGGTGGTAAATACAACAAGTATTTGGGGAGTTTTGCCATGCACGCAGCATTTGAGAGAACAAAAGTGAGGAGAGAATGTTGACCAAAAGGAGTTAGGACAGACAGACAAGAGGAAAAATAAAAGTGTTAGAGAAGGAAAAGAAAAAATGGTACTATTTACAAAGGGGAAAAGTAATGATGACCTTTCTTTTGTCTTTTACTGTTAAAACACATTTTTTAAGCATGAGAAATCTCAAAGCTACTTTAACAATTCCAGGAACTCACAGGTGGAAAGAGTAAAGTGATCTGGAATTACACTGAGAGAGATGGGTGGATCCCATGCTTAGAAGGGCGGAGGAACTTCATAGAGCAGAAGGTAGGACTAATAATGTTGTTTTTTTTTTTTCTCAAGTCTTCGATTTTGTGAATAATGGATATTTATTGGGAAAACCTTACAGTAACCTCAGTATTCTGTAGCTGCAGGGTTAAATGTTTCTTTTCTGATGATAACTTTTATGAGAGCCAGTTCTGGCATATACTTTAAATATACCTTCAGTGAATTTTGTGTATTTTGAAGTATTTTATGGCAGATAGAATTTAACTGTTTAGACTTAGTTTTACTTATTACCATTTTCTGAAATCTCTGCTTCATTATCCCATTTTCCCCTGGATATTTCCCCTATGTTGTTCAAAATGTTCCATATAGAGTCATTCCTTTATATAAAATCATAATAAGAAGAGAAATTAATAGATTATGTGAATTTAAGTTCACTGTAGTTTTTACAAGGTTATTACTTTAAATGCTTTTTTTACTTTAAGCTGTTTCCATCTTACTAGACGTGCATGGTTAGTACAAGAACCTGTTGAATCTGTTTAGAGTTGTAAGTGAGTAATAAGCTTTCAGGGGGGTTTTGGTATTTGCTTTTGGTATTTTTCCACTGTATAATTGTATTTTATGTGGGGGTTATTTCTTTTGGGGAAAATATAGGTCAGAATGTTCTCAGGTTGTGTAAGCAGCTTTGTTTTCATTCATGTACATTATGGCATGATTTTGTGTCGTGTGTTTCATCACATAAATAAAATAGATTTTTTTTTTTCCTTGATCTGAGGAAAAATCTCCAGGGTACTTAAAATCTCAAGTATAACAACTCTAAATAAAATATAAATAGCAGAAGATATGTGTGCTACTACCAAAGGTGAATTAATATGTTGAAAATCTCCTCTCACAAAGTAGTGTTACTTGGTTTGTAGAAACCTTGTCCCATATATTGGAACACTCACCAGAAGACTTGACAATTTCTAGTAGCATGTAAATAAGGCTCTGTAATTAGCAGTCCTTGTGTATTGTTCAGCCTTTTGTGTGATGAGTGGTAAAGGGACTCTAGTAGGTTTTCTCAGGATTGAAGATAATGGTTCAAAGTGTACATTCAAAGATAATGTACAAAGTGAATATGAAAAAGAAAGTTCATTCTGATCTTAGCAGATGATCAGCTTATGCTTGGCATCTTAGATGCACTTTATTGTTTTCTGGTCACTGTGGCTTTCACATGCTAACACCCATCCCAAATTATAATACCTCACATACAATCTCACCAACAGGAAATTCTGCCACTTGTGTCTGTGCTTCCATAACCTCTCCTTCATTTCAGTGTGTCTATATTAGCTTTTCTTAGGGTGTCCCTAAATTTAATTTTATAGAACAAAAACTACATAATTCCCATTACAGAATGTGTTACTGCATTCTGTGGAGCTAAAACAATGCCTGGTACATCATTTATAAGGACTCAGCCCTGATCTCATCTAGATAGGCAAGCATTGCTGTGCTCCTTGTCACATTCACTTAGCAGCTGATTTTACAGGGTTCAGTACCCAGCAATAGGGGCTGGGATATCTTGTGTCAAAATCAGGTCAAGGGACTTGATCAGCTACAGTTCATTTCCAAAGTGGGGACTGATGTGGGGCAGTATGTTCCAGGAAACTGGGGGTCAAAACTGAAATTTCAGCTGTTAATAACGCATGAAATACAATTCAGTACAATTATTTGTATTGAATGGTCACTATTTTAATAGCTGACATTCATGAGACTCTGTACTGTGTTGACATTTGAACATACACTGCATTTTAGAAGATCAGACAATGTGAAATGTGATGCTGCAGCTGTATTCTTTTGGCAGTAATTCCATCATAAGGACTTAGACCAGCCTTCTACATTTTGCTCCCTTTGCCTTCATTTTACTCAGTCTCTGATTCTAACATTATAGTTAAAACAATACCAATATTTTGCCATGCTGTTTTGTATTTCTTTGCACTTATCATAAGAAATGATGGCTGTCTTAAGCTTGGTTCAGTAAACATGTCTCCAGTTCCTTTAGATGATTCCCTTTATTAACAGATTTGTTGCAGTACTGTGTTTTCTCTTATTTTTTTACACACACCTTGCCCTCACACTCTGCAAATAGAGCACATTTCTGGTTTGTAACACAACACTGACATCATTAGCCTTGTCAAAAACTTGGGCATTATAAATAGTCATAATCATAGATTGTTGGTGACTTTACAGCAAAGTTTTCTTGTCTCTGAGAAATATTTTAAACAGGTATAGACAACAGGCCAAAGCATTAAGTATTCTTCTCAGTACTCTACAATGTGCTAGACACCCCTAGGCCCCTACTGCCCCCCACATGTGCAGTGTCCTGCCCTGTCCCTTTTCCAGTAGATCTTGCTGCTGAATTTTCCACGTGTTTGCACTGGGCACCAGTTGTGTGAGCATGAAACAGTCAGGCCTGCTGGGCACTTCTATCTGCTAAGTGATTTATTTCTAAACTTGCAGATGGCTAATATTTGAGACCATCCAGGTTCTTCTGCTTTTCTGAAGGTTAAAAGAAGGTTGCAGCTATAGGCTGAGCCCCAAGCTAGCTGATTTAGAAACATCTTGTGTAGCTCTCCATAGCAATCTTTTTTGATTGAGATACGTGGCTTCACGCTGAGGTAATCTGCAGGGGAAGGAGAGCTTGCAGTAATGAGCTCTCCTTCTCCTGCTGATTATTATGTCCAATCCACAGGCAACTCTGCTGTATGTGGCTGCATAAAACATTTTAAAAGATAAGACTGATCAACACCTTTTTATGGCCATAAGCCCTCAACCAGGGTTCATGCCCTCTGAAATGCTGAAAACTTTTTAAAAATTAAATTGCACTCTTGCTCTAAAGGGAGTAGATGTCTTTAATTCTGTAATTGATGCTGTCTGTCTAGCTTTATATTTATTTGGGGTTTTAATCTGTTTTCAGATGCAAGGTGTTACTGCAAATTTTAAAAAATCCTAAGGAGCTATTTCTAATAGATAAGTAACAGAATGTTTGCACTACTAAACTAAAATATTAATGACTCCCTTTGTTTCCTTTGTAAAATGTACTTTATATGTACAGTTAAAATGCTTGGGAGTTCTTCCACAAATTCTGCTATGTTTGGCTAAGTACTTTTTAGTTTCATCTAATCAGGAGACACTTTAAGAAAGAAGAGAAACTGAATTGCCTCACCATTTTGAATTAACCACAAAAGATACTCCTGACAAGATTTGTAAGAAAAAGAATTCATATGCAAAAGCAATTGACTGGTTCTGTATGTTCTTTTATGACTAAAACATAACTTTTTGACTATTGATAAAACACTAATCAAAATGGAAAATGCAGTTTT